CTCCAGCAAGCGAACACGCCTCTTGAGTTGGTCACTGCTGGCTCCCGGTGGATCTGATGCTATAACTATTATTACTGTTTATTACTAATTATGACTGTGATGCCGAAGACATCGTTGGTCCAGCTGGGGTTCAGACGTCCCTGCCGCCCGTGTGCCTTCCTCCCCCAGAACTCCGGGCCCAAGCGGCCCCGCGCGGCGACCGTGGGAACAGCCACCCCCAGGAGCGGGGTCTGTGTGGTGGCGCCCCCTGGAGGCATCTGTCGGAATTGCCTCAAGAACCCGCCCGCCCAACGCTGGGTCCTCCGCGGGCGCTTAGCACCTCTGCGGGCCCAAAACCCCCAGACAGCAGCCATGGCAGGCAGGGAGGGAGGAGGAAATAAAGAGAACATTTATTAAACCACTCTTGTATACTGGGCAAGGTGCTGGGCATTCCCTCTGCATTTTCTCGTGGGACACCCACTCATCCTCATTTCCCAGCGGTGGAAGCTGAGTTTCAGAGAAGTTAAAACAGCCCAGCCATGCAGAACTGGATTTGAACCCAAGTCTGCACCATGCCTGGGTCCCTCCTGGGTAGGTGTGAGGAGGAAAAGGCCACCGGACACTCACTAGACTATAAGATAAGCCTCGGGGACGCCTGGGTGGCTCAGGTCATGGTCTCAGGGTCCTGGGATCTAGTCCCACATCGGGCTCCCTGATCGGTGGGGAGCCTGCTGCTCCCCCTGCTTGTGTGCTGGCTCCCTCTCATTCATAAATAAATAAATAGATAGATAAATAAATAAATTATCTTTTAGAATGCATCAGGTACTTGACAATGCTTTCTATGTTCCCAGTTCATCCTCACAACAAACCTAGGAGGTTAAAAGTGTCATCTGATTTTACTGAGAACAATGAGGTAGAGTGCCCTCCCTAAGGTCACAAGGTGACTAATTGCAGAGGGAGTTTTAGCTTGGATTTGTACCCTGGCTCCCTCGAAGCAGCGGGCTCTTCCTATCCTCCTTCCGCCTCTAGATGGGAGCTCTTGGCACACAGAAACGCAGCAGAATGGCCTCTACCTGCACCAGTAATAATGAGGAATGTGCTACCCTCAGCGTTTGGAGCAAGTTCACTCAAGTCACTCATGTGCTGAACCTCACATTTGATTGCTTTTCACAACAATCCTGTGAAGAGGGTGTTAATTGCCCACTTCATGGACAGGGAACTGAGGATCCGGGAGGTTGGCTTCCCAAGGTCTCACAGGGAATGCTCTGGAATAAGACAGAGGCTGCTCCTGAGGCTCCCCTCGCTGTGCAGCCCTCTCTACTTCCAAAATCATACCTCTGCCAGTCATCCCTGGCATTCCTCCCTGCTCAGCCCCCTCCCTGCCCCCTTCTCTTGGCCAAGGTAACTACAGGCAGAAGCTTGAGTAAGGGGAGCTAAGAGGAACCTCTTGGGTTGGGTTCCTGCCCGGAGTGGTGGCCAGGAGGGTGCTGTTCATCAAGGATGGGATTTCGATCAGTTCACAACTTTTCCAATTTTGATTTTGGTGTCAATTTAGAAAAAAGTTCTTCCTGAATTCTCTGCCAAGGGCTCATTTTCCCATGGTTTAGTTCTTTTTTTTTTTTTTTTTTTTTAAGATTCTATTTATTTATTTCACAGAGACAGTGAGAGCTGGAACACAAGCAGGGGCAGTGGGAGAGGGAGAAGCAAGCTCCCCGCTGAGTAGGGAGCCTGGTCTCTGGGATCATGACCTGAGCCGAAGGCAGACGCTTAATGACTGAGCCACCCAGGCACCCCCACCCCTTGGTTTAGTTCTTAACCTTAGGGATCTCAGCAGGAAAGAGGGAACACAAAGCATGATCCAGGAGACAGTTTAATGAAGGAACTATTCACAGAGGTGTGGCAGGAGCAGTGAAGCACCCTGGGGCTCACAACAGTGGAATGGAATCATGGCCCCAGGGACCTGAACGGCCAGGGTAGGTAGGGAACCTTGTTAATGAACCTGGAGGGAGTTGGACCCATGGGTGCAGGCGTCCTACAAGGGCTATGGCTTTCCGTGGAGGAACCTAGTAACTGCCAGCATCACAGGGGGAGGCGGGTGGTAGAAATAACTCAGTCTAACTCTGCTCCTTCACGCTGATCTCCTGTCAGGGTCTTCTATTGGCCAGACCCTATCGGAAACTATAAGGCAAGGGGCCCAGATGAGACTCTCGGCGGGGGTTAGCCTCAGCTCGGGCAGCAGAGTAGAGAAGCATGGAGAGTGGAGGTCCGGCAAAGAACAGCCAGCCCAGGGCCTGCTCTGCTCTTCTGGACGTGGCTTTGTGGAGGCGCCCGAGAGACAGAGTGGCTATGCTGGCCTTAGGACGAACACCTCACCCTTCCGCCTCCTTCCGGGTCCAGGTTCCCTTGTCTGTGAGGGTGTCCCTATCCTGGAGTTCATCTCTCCCATCCCTGGCTTCCCCAGTTCGCACTGTCTACATCGCTCAGCTCCTGACTGAGCATTATTCTCTGCAAGCAATTGTCTCCCCGACAACAGTTCTTGCCTCCTCTACACTGCGAGCTCTTTGCAAACAGCAGCCTGGGCCAAATAGGGCTAATCACCCAACGTGGGCCTCTCATAGGCCGAGGGCCACTGTTTGCCAAGGGAACAGAGTCGTGTCCTCACCCACCTCGCTCTGCCTCGGTAGACACGATCTGAGCACATGTGAATACCTATTTCCCCAAGTACACGGGGGCTCTGTGGTGGTGGTGGCAAGCAGGGCAGGCTTGGCGCAAAGTGGGCCTCAGATGTTGTGACGATTGGTCTAGTTAGGACCGTTCTTCTTTCTCTCATTCATTCAATAACCTTTATTTACTTACTTACTTACTTATTTAGTTATTTATTTATCTATCTGAGATCCAATTATGTGCCAGGCCCTGTGCAGGGTGCTGGGGACACAGCAGTGAACAAGACACACCAAGTCCCTGCTCTCACAGGGCCTCATTCTAGTGGGGACAGCAGACTAGGAGGGAATGGAAGACCAACCGTGTGACCGCAGACCGTGATAAGTGCTGTCCCGAAAATAAACAGTACATGGATGGACATTAATGCCCGGGGTAGGGGACATGAGGGAAAGGTTTTCTGAGGAGATGCCATGTCAGCTGAGACCCAGAAAGGGTAGCAACTGGGATGCGAAATGCTGGAAAGGGTATTCCAGGCAGAGGGAAGAGCGAAAACTAAGGTGTGGAGGCACAAGCGCTTTTGGGACCCTGGGAGATTCCGAGTTGCAGCTTAAAGGAGGCCTCAGGGGAGGTCAAAGAGGGTGAGAGATTGGTTTTGGGGACGGCCCAGTGGCCAGCTCCTGGGCTGGGGGGTGGAAGGGGAAGGGATAGCCCTTCTCAATGCCACCCTTGCCTCCTGTTGCCTAGCATCCACAGCAAACAGTGCTGCTGGCAGGCTTGCCCTTTCTCCCTTAGCAGCTCTCTGACTGGCAGCAGCTGTCAAATGACCAGCAGCTGAGGCTTTGCCAACCTCCTCCCCTGGAATATTTTAGGGGTAAGTCAGAAAATGACCAGCCGCCTCCTTAAAACCCAGCTTTTTCTCCTGCATGCCTTACAAGGGTGTACTTGGCTACACTGGGTGTTAATCTCCCAGCCCCAGCATTAAACAGAGAGATATAAATACACAGCCCCAGGCGGCATACTCAGACACACTGACTGATGCTGCCGTGTGCAGACCCCAGTCACAGAGGACACTCCAGGTGTGGGCTTGTGAGCACCCACTACCGTATCACAGGCGGGAGCCCTGGTCCCTCACAGGCACACGGTTATGCGCGCGCAGGCCCATACATAGTCCACAACCACCCATCACCACACATAATAACCACTCTCTAGCCCCCAGATTATACAAGCACACAACCACACACAGACAGTACCCCCACCCCCGTTGTCCCAGAGTTACACACAGGCATGCAGTCTCACATTCTCCCCCTACACACACACACACACACACACACCCCCATGTAGTGTTCACACAGCCTCCAGTGGGCACACTGATCGCAACACACAACCCACATAAGCTCAACACAGCGGCACCACTGCCTCCCATCACCCCACTCCCTCCCCTCCACCTCTCCCCTACCCCCCTCCGGTACTCAAGGCCTCTCTGATTAAACACACATCCAGCCCCTCGCTCTCTACAGTGCGGAGAGAGAGCATTCTTCTGTGATTGAGTCAAAGACCTCCCCAGACAGAGGGGTTAAGTGGAAAAAGGCATCAGAAGGAGAATGCCCGAGGCCCAGGTCTGGGATGGGGCCGGCAGCTTCTGGCTTAGGGAGAAAGACATCAGTGTTGAAATTTGACCCTGACTCTAATGGGCTAAGGCCTTGGGGGAGGGGGCATGCCTTGGAGGGGACAAAAGCGGGGCTGGGTCGGGGTGACAGGTGGCGCAGGAGGAGAGACTCCAGGAAATCTCGCAGCATGGGGGTGGCCCTCGGTGTTAAATCTGGACTCGACCTTATAGGCTTAAACCCATAGCCCTTCCCTAACTCCGGCAACAGGCTTCCGACTGTCCCCAAACGCACGGGGTGTGGCCGTGACCCCGCCCCCCCAGCCCTTAAGACAGCTGCGGGGGACAGGGCGCTCCGGCCTCTCCCCCCATACACACCCCCACCCGCGCGGGTGGGGATCGCAGGGCGCCGACCTGAGCGCGCTGGAGTGCTGGGTGCCTCTCAGTCCCCCAGGTCCCGAGCCCTGCCCCCGCCGGCCGGGCGGGGGAAGTGCTCTCCGGGGCCCGCAGAGCCACCCTACCCCCCGCCCCCGCAACTGGACTCTTGGAAAGAAAGGGTGAGAGAAAGAAGGTTCGGGAAGATCTCGGGGCCGGCCGGTTTGGGAGACGCCGATCGGCCACCCCCCACCCCTGCCCCCGCCCCCGCCCCAGGCCGCACGGCCTGCACGCTCCTCCCGCGGGCGGGGAGCTGGGGCCAAGTGGGCGCGCCCGGCCCGGGGCGGGCGGGATCCGGTGTCGGCGGCAGCTGCCAGTGCGGCGGGCGCGGGCGCGGAGCAAGCGGCCCGCGGGGCGGGCTATTAATAACGCGGTCGCCCAGCTCGGGGTCGCGCAGCCATGGCAAGCCCGGAGCCCCGGCACGGCGGGGACGGCGCAGCCCAGGCCGCGAGGTAGGACAGTGCAGGGCCCGCGTGGCCGTCCCGTGGGGAGGGGGCGCTGGATGAGCCCCCCACCCCCCCGCTAGCACCTTCTGTCCTGGCTGGGGGTGGTGGGCCAGCCGGGGTGTGGCCCTGGCATCGGGCGGAGCCACCGGCCGAGGGGAGACCGGGGAGGCCCGGGGTCCCCGCACCTCCGTTTGTCCGTGGCTTTTTATAGTGCCCACTCCTCCTCCCGGGGCTGGGTGAGAAGAAACCCTTTCGGACTGGTGGGCATCAACCATCAAATGCCACTGGGCCAGACTGGCCGAGGACGCTCGCTCCCCGCTTTCCTTGATACCTCACCCCAAATGCAACTGGAGACGGAGGCCTCCGGTTGCTGAATTCGCTGTGTGGAAGGGACTTGGTGCAAGGCTGGGCGGCTGCCAGCTGGGAGTTAGGAGTCTGTTCTGGCGGCTCCCTCTCTCCTGTTTGAGGCCTGGGATGGGGGTGAGGTCGGGGTGGGGAGGGTCGCCCCTCCCAGACCAGTAGGGGGGTCCTGGCAGCGGCCTGGGGGCCCTGGAGGGGAGGCCTTCCCCCAGTCATCCACACTGCCCCATAACCACTGCTCAGGGGGAAAGGGCCTGTGGCTCAGGGATTTGGGGCCAATATGGAGGATTTCTGCCCCAGGTCCGACTATAGCCCTGAGAAGGTAGAGGTCCAAATACACACGCCGTGCCCTCCTTCAGTGTCCCACACAGCACCCACCGGAGTGTGGTTTTACCCATACAATCACCTGTATTGCCGTGTACACATTCAGGTTCACACACAGGCAGATACACGCCAACTCCTGCCCGCACTGTGCCACAGACACTCCTGGCCACGGCACTGATGCAGAGCTGGGAGCCTTTGGAGTTCTCTAGGACCCGCAGGGGCTGGCAGGGGCAGGCTGCTTGGGGTCTAAGGAAGCCTGAGGTCAAGGGTCCCAGCTGAGTGGGCTCCTCAGGCCTTAAGCCTCTGCCCATACTCTCTCCTTTTCCCCAGCTCCTTAGAGAGAGGCAGCTAGCTGAGTGAGGGCAGCGTCTAGCAGCGGCCAGGCGCTGGGGTGGGGGTGGTGAGGGAGGCAACCACAGTGCATGGGGTAACAGTGCTGCCTAGGAGTCAGGGGGACGGGGTTCCATGTCTGGCCAGGCCACTTGACCTTGGGCAAGTTTCCTCTTTGGATCCCAGCAGGCTTCTGCCTGCCTTCCCTCTACAGAGCCCCACCCTGGGGTCCACAGGGAATGAATACTACTTGTCCTTAGGAAATAGACTCTCAGGGGACACGCCACACTCACTGCTATAACACAGAGCATTAGGTGCAAAGATGAGCTGCACACAGAGAGCCTTGAGAATGGGATAATGGCTTGTCTGCGAAATACTTCGCAGGAGAGACGCAGTTTGAGCAGGGCTCCAAGGACGAGTAGACACATACGAGCAGGTAAATAAGTCTATTTTGATCGGTAAGCTCCATTAGACCTGCTGTAGCTGTTGCACCTGTTTTGTTTTGTTTTGTTTTAAATATTTTATTTATTTATTTGACAGAGAGACACAGCGAGAGAGGGAACACAAGCAGGGAAAGTGGGAGAAGGAGAAGTAGGCTTCTTGCTGAGCGGGGAGCCAGATGCGTGGCTCAGTCCCAGGATCCTGGGATCATGACCTGAGCCAAAGCAGATGCTTAAGGACTGAGCCACCCAGGTGCCCCTGTTGCGCCTGTTTTAGAATCTTGCCTGTTCTGGGTACAGAGGGGTCAACGGGAGCTCCGTCCAGCCTTGGAGCTGGATGCCATCTTTTCCAGGCTCCGCCACTCGCTCACAAGTGGTGGAACTTCGAGTGAGTTCTTTGCTTGGGGCTTCGGTTTCCTCATGTGCAAAATGGAGGTAAAAGATGAGCATCACATACATGACTATTTGTGTGAAAGACTTGGAATCCTGCCTTGAGCGCCGTCCCATCATTCCAGGGGAGATCACTCAGCAGGAGCGTGCGGGGGGCCGTCTGCTAGGAAAGTGGGGGCTCTTCTGAGGATCGGAGGGGGGCTGGCTGGCTGAGCAGGTGCAGCATTCCGGGCACCTAGGAGCGCTACCTTTCCCGGTAGCGCAGGACTGTTCGCTAATCAGATGATGTACGACGCGCTGTATTTTCTCAGCTGGATCCGTTAGACACAGTGGGCTGGGAGTAGGAGGTGTGAAAGTGTTAGAGCATATTCTGGATTGTCAAGCACGGGGTGGGTCGTGGGGAGTGGAGTGAGTTGAGGCTGTGAAGGTATGTGGGGGCCACATCGTCAAGGGCTCTGAATCGATGCTGGGCAGTGGGTTGTGTGTGCGTGAAGTGGGGCGGCAAGGCTATGTTCGAGCAAGCTGTGGCGCTGTAGAGAATGGATTGGCGTGAGAAGGAAGAAAGCCCGTTGGAAGGTGGGCATGGGAGTGCCGGCATGCGAGGGGATGACTTGCAGTAGGGCCCTGGCAAGGGGATGAGGAGGGGACAGAGACTGGAGACTTTCTGAGATCAGTTAGTTCTCAGCGAGTTGGCTCTGTGAGGGAGGGAAAGAGCTGCTTAAGGATTCTTTTTTTTTTTTTTAAGATTCTATTTATTTATTTGACAGAGAGAGAGAGATCACAAGCAGGCAGAGAGACAGGCAGAGAGAGAGGGGGAAGCGGGCTCCCTGCTGAGCAGAGAGCCCGATGCGGGACTCGATCCCAGAACCCTGAGATCATGACCTGAGCCGAAGGCAGAGGCTTATTAACTCACTGAGCCACCCAGGCGCCCTGCTTAAGGATTCTTTGCCTCACCCACCTGCTGTATGAGGCTGCGCTTCTCTGCGCTGGAGAACACGGGGTTAGCGAGCCCGGGGAGCTGGGTAGCTTGAGATACCAGATGACACCAGGTGAAGAGATCTAAACAACACCCTGGGACAAACCAGGTGACGCTTGGGGCTGTCTCCAAGCTTTAGGTTTCAGTGCAGGTGTTGGGTTCTGGGAGGCCAGTGACATCGGGGGCCTGGTGAAGCCACACTGGTGGTTTCCCAAGGACCACCATGAGACACAGAATGGGAAGACAAGGATTCCTGGGGTGCTAGAGAGGAGGACAGAATACACAACGATTTAGAAGAAATCTGGGGGCGCCTGGGTGGTGTAGTCGGTTAAGCATCTGACTCTTGATTTCAGCTCAGGTCATGATCTCATGGTTGTGAGATCGAGCCCCGCGTCGGTCTCTGTGCTCAGCGTGGATTCTGCTTGAGACTCTCTCTCTCCCTCTGCCTCTGTTCCTCTCCCTACTTGCCCATGCTCTCTCTCTCTCTCAAAATAAATAGATCAACTCTTAGAATAAAAATAATCTGTAGTGGGAACTTGGAGCTAAGATATAGAGCTTAAAACCTGGACATAAGTAGGCTTGTCTTTTATTTTAAGATTTTATTTTTAAGTAATCTTTAAAGATTTTAGTATTTATTTGTCAGAAAGAGAGAGCACGCACAAGCAGGGGGAGCAGTAGGCAGAGGGAGAAGCAGGCTCCCTGTTGAGTAAGGAGCCCAATTTGGGACTTGATCCCAGGACCTCAGGATCGTGACCTGAGCCAAAGGCAGATGCTTAACTGACTGAGCCACTTAGACACCCCACAAGTAGGCTTTTTCAAGACAGAGAAATTATTATTATTATTTTTTTAAAGATTTTATTTATTTGACAAGATCACAAGTAGGCAGAAAGAGAGAAGGGAGGAAGTAGGCTCCCTGCTGAGCAGAGAGCCCGATGCAGGGCTCCATCCCAGGACTCTGGGATCATGACCTGAGCCGAAGGCAGAGGCTTTAACCCACTGAGCCACCCAGGCGCCCCAAGACAGAGAAATTATTTGATACAGGGGCTTTTCATTTATACATTATAGCTAAGGTAGCTTTCTTGAAAACGATACTCAGATTTAGACTGTCTTCTAACTGGTGCCCATGGGGTATCTGAGTTCCCTTGAGCAAACTACTTAATCTCTTTAAACTTCATTTTCCCGATCTGTAAAATGGGGAAAATAAATACAATTACCTCATACAAATGTTATGAGGATTAACTGAGTTGATAAACATAAACCATTCAGAACACAGCCTGGCACATGTAAGACCTTCATAAGTGTCATTTATTGTTGTTATTTCCATGGTATTTTATATTTTCAAAAAATTGCTTAGAGATCCAAGGTAGGTAAAATGCAGTTGAAACAGGAAGGACCAAAGCCATCTGAAGGCCAAAGAAACAGGAGGCTCTTCCGTAAGAGGCACTGGTTAAGCTAGCAGGGAGCCGACAGCTGGGTTAAGGAGCTTCTCAGCCAGAATCACAGAATCTGAATTCAAGAGTCTTTGACGGGGGCGCCTGGGTGGCTCAGTTGTTGGGCGACTGCCTTCCACCCTAGGTCATGATCCCAAGGTCCTGGGATCGAGCCCCACATGAGGCTCCCTGCTTGTCAGGGAGACTGCTTCTCCCTCTCCCACTCCCCGTGCTTATGTTCCCTCTCTCGCTGTGTCTGTAAAATAAATAAATAGGGGCGCCTGGGTGGCTCAGTGGGTTGAGCCGCTGCCTTCGGCTCAGGTCATGATCTCGAAGTCCTGGGATCGAGCCCCACATCGGGCTCTCTGCTCAGCAGGGAGCCTGCTTCCTCCTCTCTCTCTGCCTCTCTCTCTGCCTCTCTCGGCCTCTCTCTCTGCCTGCCTCTCTGCCTGCTTGTGATCTCTCTCTGTCAAATAAATAAATAAATAAAATCTTTAAAAATAAATAAATAAATAAATAAATAAATAAATAAAATCTAAAAAAAAAAAAAAAAAAGAATCTTTGACAGACCAGAGGAGCGGCCAATCCTAACAAGATGAAATTTTGTTTCATTTTGTTGTGTTTTGTTTTGGAGTGCGTGGGAGTGGGGGGGGTGCAGGGGAGGTTAGAAGGGGCAGAGGGAGAGAGAGAGACAATCTCAAGCAGGCTCCATGCCCAGAGAAGAGCCGGACGGGGGTGGGGCTCAATTCCACCATCCTGAGATCATGACTTGAGCCAAAATGAAGAGTCAGATGCCTAACCGACTGAGCCACCCTGATGCCCCAAGAAGATGAATGAAGTTTTACAGGAACAAGAGAGTGATTTAAAGGCACTTGGTGTGGAAAAATCTTGTGTGTGTGTGTGTGTGTGTGTGTGTGTGTGTGTGTGTGTGTGTGAAGACTTCTTAAGGCTTTTAGTCAAACTCAGTATTTGCCAACGATATGATAGAGCTGTTCTATACTGGCCTTTAGCAATAGGAGTATAGTGTCCAGAGATTTACTGCTCAGAACACACCCGGGTGCTGTTTCCAAAACCCATCCCCAAGGGACAGCGACAATTTGGAGCCTAGTCAAAAGGAAGTGACCCAAATGAGGAGGGCACTGGACATTTTGGCATGCATGGAATAATCAAAAGATGTTCGTTTTCTTTAGGTGTCTAAAGAACTTACACGGGAAAGGAGGTGGGTTTGTCTGATTCTAGAAAGAGGAATCAAGCCTAGGTAAAAATTGCAGACAAGCATTTCCTGGGTGGTGCAGTTGGTTAAATGTTTGACTCTTGGTTTCTGCTTTGGGTGTGACTTCAGGGTTGTGAGATCGAGCCTGAGTTGGGCTCTGGGCTCTGCATGGAGTCTGCTTGAGTTTCTCTCTCCTCCTTCTGTCCCTCCCACCATCCTCACTATCTCTCTAAAACAAATAAATCTTTTTTTTTTTTTCCCTAAAGACCATTTATTTGACAGAGAGTACAAGCAGGGGGAGCAGCAGGCAGAGGGAGCAGGGAGCCTGACAAGGGGGCTTAATCCCAGGACCCTGGGATCATGACCTGAGCTGAAGGCAGGTCATGCTTAACCGACTAAACCAGCCAGGCGCCCCTAAAATAAATTAAAAAAAAAATCGCAGAGAAGGTTTTACTTCAGCACTAGAATTTTCTTATGACAGTGGAACAAATAGTGGTGGCTCAGGTGTGAGTTTCTTGGCCTTGAAGGTCTAAACACTGACATCACAGGGGTGTTGTCGGGGGACCTGAGCTATGCGTGGAGGGGGACAGACTGATGGGAGGGAGCAGACAAGTGCTCTCTGAGATGTGGGAACCGGATATGGATATAACCCTAATGGTTGCCGTTGCCAACCATCCTAGGATGGTGGCTGTCCTCTCACTTTAAGTCATTTCTCTTGCAGGGAGACAAGCGCAGAAGCCACTTCTCCTCTTGAAGAGGAGAGCTTGGAATCCCCCCATGAGGCCGGGACTCTGGACCCAGAAGTGACTCTGTCTTTGAAGGGGACCTTAAACTTAGAGGACATTCTCTACCTGGGGGACACAGGTGACCTGGATGAGCTAGACGAGATACTGTGTGTGGAAGAGACGGAGCAGCCTGAGGAAACCCTGTACATTGAGGAGACCAGGCAGCCAGGTGAGGCCCCGCATGTAGACGAGCCTGTGAAGCCAGAGGAGATCCTCTGTGTGGAAGAACTCGAGAAGCCGGAAAAGAGCGCAAGCCCGGAGCAGACCGGTGATGGGGGAGAGACGGTCACGAGTGAGGAGAAACCCAGCCCTGAGGAGGGCCTCAGCGCCGGGCTGAGTCCCAGCACCGAGAGCCTGAGCATAGAGGACCTGGAACTGCTGGAGCAGCGTTTCCAGCAGTGCGTGCAAGCCGTGGCCCAGCTGGAAGAGGAGCGGGACCAGCTCATCCACGAGCTGGTGTTGCTCCGGGAACCGGCCCTGCAGGAGGTGCAGCGGGTCCATGAGGACATCCAGGCGGCCTACAAGCGGCACGCCCAAGCCGAGCTGGAGAGGGACGGGCTGAGGGAGGAGATCAGGCTGGTCAAGCAGAGGCTCTTCAAGGTGACCAAGGAGTGTGTGGCCTACCAGTACCAGCTGGAGTGCCGCCGGCAGGACGTGGCCCAGTTCGCCGAGCTGCGGGAGGCGCTGACCGCCCGGGCAGCCCAGCTCTCCGAGGAACTGGCCGGGCTCCGCGAGGCCTACCAGAAGCAGAAGGAGCAGTTGCGGCAACAGCTGGAAGTGCCGCCAAGCCAGAGCGACGGGCACTTTCTGCAGGAGAGCCGGCGGCTCTCCGCCCAGTTTGAGAACCTCATGGCGGAGAGCCGCCAGGGCCTGGAGGAGGAGTACGAGCCTCAGCTGCTGCGCCTCCTGGAGAGGAAGGAGGCGGCGGCCAAAGCCCTGCAGAAGACCCAGGCGGAGATCCAGGAGATGAAGGAGGCCCTGAGACCCCTGCAGGCAGAGGCCCGGCAGCTGCAGCTGCAGAACAGGAACCTGGAGGACCAGATCACGCTCGTGAGGCAGAAGCGGGACGAGGAGGTGCAGCAATACCGGGTAGGCCCCCCGGGCACCCCGAGAAGTGCAGCTCGTTAGCCCGGGGCGGGAACCGATGACCCGATCAGTGGCCTTGCAGGCGCCTCTCCCGCAGGGGGATGTACGGCTTCCTCCCCCGGGTGGCCGCTCCCTTCCCTGCTCCATCCAGTCTTCACTGCGCTGAGGCAGGCCCGGGCTAGGGGCTGGAAGCTGTCTGCACCCCTAGTGCGTGCAGCACCCCGACACTCAGTCCTCTCGTTAATTTTCCGAGTCAAGTATTGGCGCTTTCAAAGATGAGACAGGCTCAGTGCGCTGGTCTGTCTGACCCTGATATTCCAGTGCACTTCCCGCCTAACGGAATCGGGCTTGGGTAGAGAGAGCAGGAGGGGCAGAGGCTAGGCGGGATGTTCCTTCTCTCCCTCCCTCTGTACTCCCCCCTCGGGTCCTACCTGTCCCAACTCTGCCTGAAGCTTCCCACTTGTAAAACTGGGATGAGGGACACTTGGCGGGCTCTGTTTGGTAGGGCACACGACTCTCCATCTCAAGGTTGTGAGTTTGAGCCCTACACTGGGTATAGAGATTTTTTTTTTTAAGATTTTATTTATTTATTTGCAGACAGACATCACAGCTAGGCAGAGAGAGGAGGAAGCAGGCTCCCCACAGAGCAGAGAGCCCGATGCGGGATCCCAGGACCCCAGGACCCTGGAATCATGACCGGAGCCAAAGGCAGAGGCTTTAACCCACTGAGCCACCCAGGTGCCCCGGTATAGAGATTTCTTAAAAACACACACAACTGGGATGAAATCTGTAAAGCTCTATTCCTCATTTTCTTTTTTGGGTGTTGTCACCATTTCACTTGCATTTGAGTTACTTCTGATTAAGTCTGAATCAGTTTTTTTTTTTTTTTTTTAAGATTTTACTTATTTGCTTGTCAGAGAGACTGAGAGAGAGAGCACGCACAAGCAGAGGGAGCTGCAGGCAGAGGGAGAAGTAGGCTCTCTACTGACCAGATGTGGGACTCCATCCCAGCACTCTGGGATCATGACCTGAGCTGAACGCAGACGCCTAACCGACTGAGCCACCCAGGCGCCCCCAATCTCTTTATAGACAGAGTGGGATATAAACACTAAGTTGAAAACACAATTTTGTCTGTCTCTCCCACAGACTGTGAGCTTTCAGAAGGGAGTATGGTTTACTTATTTCTGCCACTCCAGCTCAGAGGACACATCAGTTTAATGCTGATGTAAGCATCACTGACCACTCTGAAAGCCCCTCAGAGCAGTATTTTCATCTTTTGAAACACACATTCCTTTGTTTGATAAACTTAAAAAGCTTACGTCCCTCCAGAGATTCTGATACATCCTACAAGGAACAGATCCTCTGTTGAAAATGGCTGCATTCACTTCATTCAAGATGTTGTCACGCTTTCTGTAGCTTGTATTATGACAACAATGGGGTTTTTGGTCCTAATAGTGAATATATGGTGTACGACCCTCAATCCTCTCCCCCACTGCTTTTTTATTGGTTCACAATCTAGTGAAAGAGTTTTATTTATTTATTTTTTAATAAATACTATCCTTAACAGCTTGTACTCACACAGACATTAATATTTGTAACCCAGGGGGAGAAAGTAGCATGTGGGATTTAAGAGAGGTGAAGATAAGAGTGTTATAGGATAATGAAATTATTTTAGTCATCGGTTAAGTCACAGAACACTTCATAGAAGAACAGGTGTTATTTGAGTTGGGTATTGAAGTTTAGGCAAGATCTAGACCAGTGCTGTCCAAAAGAAGTAGGCAAGACACATACAGAATTTTAAACTTTCTAGTAGCCACATTGAAACAGTAAGAAATAGGTGAAAGTAATTTTGATATATTTAAAACAAGATATGCAAAATATATAGTGACTTGGCTCCATGTGAGAGGTGAAAAACTGAAAGCTGGGGTGCCACAGTGGCTCAGGTCATGATTCTGCAGTCCTGGGATTGAGCTCCCTGTCAGGCTCCTTGCTCAGTGGGGAGTCTGCTTCTCCCTCTGCCCCTCCTCCCACTCATGTACATATATATATATATGTGTGTGTGTGTCTCCCCCTCTCTCTAATAAATAAATAAAATCTTAAAAAAAAAAAACAACCAAAAAACCTGAAAGGTGATTTGAACTGCAAAGGCAGGTTGGGTGGTCTGAAATCCAGAGTAGGGAATGTGGATTTCCTTCAGCAGACGGCTATATCAGTAAAGGTATTTGATTTAAGGGAGTAACAAGACTGCCTCTCTGCTTTTAGAAAAAGTACTGGTGGCAGTGTGCAAAAATGGGCCGAAGACCTAGAAGCTAGGGGACTAATGAGGAAGCTATGATAGGTAAGAGGAAAAAATGGTAGTGGGAATACGAGGAAGGGGAGGGATTCAAGAACAAATGCAGGATAAATGTGGCCACCGACTAAAGAAGGTAGAGGTGAGAAGTCACCGGGGGTGTTGAGACCTCAGGCAAGGCCAACTGGGACAGTGGTGCCACCAACACGGAATCCTCTGGGGGTGCTTTTTTGTTTTTTAAAGATTTGGGAGAGAGTGTATGAGCAGGGAGAGGAGCAGAGGGAGAGGGACAAACAGGCTCTGTGCTGAGTGCAGAGCCAGACTCGGGGTTCGATCTCGCGACCCTGAGATCATCACCTGAGCCAAAACCAAGAATCAGGCACCCAACCCAACCGACTGAGCCACCCAGGCGCCCCCTCTGGGGGAGTTTTCTGACACAAAATGAGGGTTGTACAATTTCCCACCCTCCCCCACCCTCCTACGGTGATTTTCATCTCTGAACTGGGTTTGTTTCAGATCTGATGGTCAGTGCAGCTTCCCAAAAATCATTTTATGAAAAACACTCTTGATGAAATGTCTCCTACTGCTGTACCATAAAGTGGGAATCAAGGTCTAAGTGAGCAAATTCTTCTTTCTGAAATGGCATCCTGGACTGCCAAAGGTCACTTACGGCACTGGACTACTTTTCAAGGGTACCCTTCACTCTTGTGGTTGTAAACTCTGCCTCTTTCATCGCCATTATCTGTTCATTCAACAAATACTTTCCTAGTGCCTACTTACCATGTGGCAGGCAGTGAGCTAGGTACTGGCAGAAGAGAGGAGATGAGAAATGGGGGCGGGGATATATAGTTTATAGTCAGTATTTATAGTCCAGGAAGGATACTGGATAAAATGAATACATTTCATAAAATCTAAGACACTTGATTTTCAAGATTTTACTTATTTGAGAGAGAGAGAGAGCAGGAGGAAGAGTGTGGGCAGGGGGCAAAGGGAAGAGAAGCAGGCTTCCCACTGAGCAGGGAGCCCCATGTGGGACCTGATCCCAGGACCCTGAGATCACGACCTGAGCTGAAGGCAGATGCTTAACTTACCAACTAGGCCACCCAGGCGCCCCTAAGACACTTGATTTTAAGATGCACCCTGACCTGAGATGTTAAAATGTGAAAGCCTTAGAATCAATGAAATTAATATTCTTCAATCTAATAACACTGTGATAGTTGTAGGAACAAGGCATTGTACCAGTGAAGTAGATATAATTACCCCTGCCTGGGGGAAGCACAGGGGAAATTTCATGATTAACAATAGCTGGCATGTATTTTTATTTCTTTACATGTATTAATTCATTTACTCCTCACCTGTCTGTGACATAGGTATGAATTAGTCATTGGTCACCAGAAAAATGAGGAGAGATGAGACAGAGAAATTAAGTCATTTGTTTAGGGTTATATGGCTAGGAAATGATGGAAGGAGGATTCTGACCTTGTGCAATCTAGCTCAAGTTCACATTCAACTTCACAAGGTGTTTGAGCTGAGCCTTGAATACATTCATTGGGTAGACAAGGGAAAGGCATTCCAGGCAGAGGAACAGCTTACACAAAAGCGTGGAAAGACAAAAAGACATTGTTAAGGGAAGTGAGCTCAGTGTAGTTGAATCTTATGTAAGCAGTAGACAGATGTGGCTGGAGAGGTGGACTGGGACCAGACTGTAAAGGGTTTTGTATGTATTCAGTCAGTGGTTTTCAAAAAAAGGTTTTCTCCAAAGCCACAGACCCTTTTCCCCAAACATAATCTTACATGGAAAGGTAAAAGCAAGGAGCCACTTTCTGTGGCAAGGGCACTTCAATATGGCCTCCTCCTGGGATTTCAGGGAGAAGTTTGAGGACCACTGATGAGCCATTAGATAGGATGGCAGCAAAGTGAGCTGTAGAGCATGAGCTCTAAGCCAGTGGCAAATCCTGGCTCTACCACTTCTTTTTTAAAGTTTTGTTTCACTAATTTCTATACCCAACATGGGGCTCAAACTCATGACCCTGAGATCAAGAGCCACTTGAGCGGCTCTTCCCACTGAGCCAGCCAGGCACCCCTGGCTCTACCACTTCTAACTGGGAAACTTTGGACAAATTACTTAACCTGTGACTGCAGTCCCTCACATGTGTACCGGGATTAGTAATAATACACAGCACAGGGCTGGTGCAGTGGATGAGCTAGGTAATGTTTGTGAAGCCCTTGCAACGGTGCCTGGCACATACGTACGTACATGCTCTTAAAAACAGTGTGTGCGATGAATTAAAGAGCCTGGAAAGACCACTCATGAGGGAGAGATAATGTAAGATACGTGAAGTAAAATATTTGGGTAGGATTTGGTGACTGGTGTAGTAGGTGGTACGAGGAACTTGCTGAGAATGTTGTCGAGATTTTTAGCTGAAATTGGGAGGTCACTTATGCTGAACTATGGAATGTCTACTGTCTACATATTTCACATCAAGCATTGTGGGTAGGGTGTTAAGACAGAAACCTACAATCGGACTGGGAGTTAGACATGAATAAAAAAGATAGTGACAACACAGCAGATGCTGTCTAGGTGACAGACCCTATTTCTAGTACTCGAGAGCCACATGAGGCCCGTAGTGGCATCCATACCAACACAGTGCAGGATAGAGCAAAGAGTTTGTATGGAAGAATAACATTTGTTCCAGTTAGAGGTAGGGGTCAAACCAGAGGGGGTCTGAATGCCAGACTAATGAGGTGGAAAGCCTTTGAAAGACTGAGATGATAAAGCAGTTTTTGGAAAGCGAATCTAGTTGGTGTTACACAGCATTGAGACTGGATGTCTTTAATGCCAGTCACTATAGCAATATTTACTTCCTTCTGTGACATCGTTCCTGTCAATTTATCACTCATGGTACAGATTGCCTTCCCAAGCGTGTACTTTAACGCCTCGCCAAAATACAGGTTTGCTGGTGATCTCAGGGAGGCTTGGGAAATTGGGGCACAGAGGTATGCAGATGCTTCCCTTCAGAGGACAGCTTAGATTGTACGGCTGCATCTCTGTGTGGTGCCAGAGTATGGCTAAGGCACTAAAAAAAGGCCTTTCGATAAGGGTGGTGGAAGTCGGGATTCAGCGAGTATCAAACGCCACAGATTGCTGTGCTACAGGCCCACCAAAGATGGCTCAGAGAACCAATTATTTAGATCCTTCTAGTAACAGCATGTACCCAAACTGGATTCCTATCTTCTTATTCTTCAAAATCTGAGGTGAAGTCATTACCCCTTTAAAATAGACGTTCTGACTTCAACCTTCCCTTCCCGTCTCCCTCATGCTTCCCAAGGATCCACGCCAGCTAGCAACTATGCCAGAGACAGACTTGCTGACATCTTCCTTACCTCACTCCTCAGGCATTAATTCGAGGCAAAGACAGTTTATAGAACATATCCTGTCTGGGTTTGGCATAATGGGAAACAGTTATCTTAAGGCTCCTGAGGGCCTCCAGGGCATTGCTTCTTCATCTTCCAACTTAGCACTTTGGAATGAATTCAGTCTTTTAGTGTAATGAGTACAGGATATAGGAAATTAACAATTATGACAGCCAACATCCTAATAAAGCCCCTATTTGCATAGGATGTTACAGTTAAGTACCAGGTAGCGCTATCTTGGAGTTGAAGGAGGTTCAAATACGAAACTTGTATTTACTGTTTTCCTGTGAACGACTGGACTTCTAGTAGTTGAACTCTTCTGGAATTAGTTAATAATTGCTTACAAAGAATTGATTTATTTTTGTCTTTTTAAAGTAAGCTCCATGCCCAACACGGGGCTCGAACTTAGAACCCCAAGATCAAGAATCACATGTTCCACAGACTGAGCCAGCTGGGGGCCCAAAGACTTGGTTTAAGTTAAATTGTTTTAAGTCGCAGGATGATATAAAAAAGGATTATCCTAACAGAAACAAACCTGCACAGAGCCAGAGGTCCATAAAACTCTCAGCACACCGATGAGAGGACCAAAATCCTCCCCCACACTTAACACTGCAAAACAAACAAAAATCCTCTGAGCACCCACCCACCCTCTGCAGGATTCTATTAAACAGTCCTCTGCAGGTACAGACGAGACTCCTGTCAGGTCCTCATCGGCAAAAACAGGATGGCTCTGTCCAAACGCCTCTTTGAACTTGTTTCTCAACCTCAGCACTGGTGTGAAGGTTAAACCATGTGTAACAAAGTGCTTTATCAACTGTAACTGACAGTGTTCGTTGTTTTACTGTTCTGTTCATTAGAGACGTTCTTGGCCTTCCCGCTGCAGGAACAGCTGGAGGAAATGGAAGAGCGACAGAGGCAGTTGAGGAGCGGCCTGCAACTCCAGCAGCAGAAGAACAAAGAGCTGGAGCAGCTGCGGATCAGCCTCGCCGGAGAGCTCTCCACCTATAAGTCAGTTCTTGCTGGCGCCCTGCTCTTAACTGACGCTGGCAAAGGGGATGGTGGGGAGGGCAGGTGTTGCTCAGGGGAAATTTCACTGAACAGGGAAAAGCAGAACAACAGCTTGGGACAATATTCGAATTGTGCTCACCCATGACAGATGGAAAACGGATCTCTTTTTTTAAAGGGCTATGCTACCCAAGAGCCTGGGACAGGCTAACGCTCCCACTTCTCAGGCAGGTGGAACGGAGACTCAGTCCCAAGGTGATCCTTGAGGGTCCAAGAGTGGTGTCTGCACTGTTGTTGCTCCTAACAATACTAATGGCTTAAGAAAACTTAGAGTGTGTCAAATGACAAGTCAGGTAGGAATAACACATACCTCCACATTGCCTGGTTTAAGCATTCAGGGGTCACTTGGAACGTTTCAGTTTCTAGCAGGACTCAAAATATGCTCTAATTATTGCCAGGAATTCGGTAACACGATGACACATCCGGGCTCTATGCATTCTTACTTTCCTTGGCCTATCCTACCCCATCTGCTATTCATAAATAGCTTCCTTAGAATAGCCGAGAAGACAGTTATGCTACCTAATTCAGACTATGACAAAGGAGGCCAAAAGGCTAAATTAATCTGGAAGTCATAAAAAAGGCTCAAGTGGGTGTTGTTCATAGCCTGTGGGACAGGATTACTGCTTAATATAGGAAACAAGCAATATACCTATCCATTAATTTCTTTAAATACTAATGTTCTTATATTCTGTATAAAGTCCTAGATTCTCTCGGATAAAGAAACTAAGGAAAAAAGGTCTGGGCCAAGTTGTAGACTAGACAGATGCCCATAAATTTTATTCTTAATTTCCCAGTTAATCTTTTGTCTTGGGTACAAAACTCACAAATAACAATTATTAACCAATACTTTTCCTAACTTACTAGCATTTTCTTTTACCGTGTTTTATCCAGGCATGACTGATTATGCTTATTGTTTGGGAGATTAGAGAACCTTGTAATTGAGGAAAGTGATACGTCAAACACCTTTGTGCGGATCAGATTAAAAGTACAACAGGGAAAGGGCAACAACTCCTCTTAAGAAACGAAACTACAGAATCCCAGTTACTCTAATACCCATGTAAGGTTAACCTGGGCAGAGAAAATCTCTAGCTAGGCCCTCCCATCACCACCACACAGGTTACCATTCATTCAGTTCTGCAAATAAGAGGCACCCAAATAGGCATTTGGCACAGAGAAATGCATCCCTAATCCTATGTAAATTACACTCCAGCAATCTCTCCCCAACTTAGCACTAACTAAACTTCAGAAGTTCATTGTCATGAACTTTACACTGTATTATTTCAAGTTGACCCAAGTATGAACTTATTTTTTTCTTTTCTCAATTTTACAGGGGCTGTTTAGAAACGTATGGCCGAATCTGTAACCCAGAAACAACAGCAAAAAACTTTTTAGCAAAGGATAACTAAGTACCCTTTGGACATACTTTTTTCCAGAGAAGGGAGTGCCAAGGACTTGGCAAGCAGTTCACCCTGGGAAAGTTACAAACACTGGCTGACCTGTTTAAAGAGTTGAAGGCTGGCTGGAGGCAGAATGCCATCAGTCAGGATTTAAGTGGAGTCTAGTTCATAGGCTGCTGGTACCAATCTCTGTGCATGCAGGAATGGAAAAATGAGCCTTCTGTCCTCTGGCAGCAACTCCCACGTGCACAGAGTAAAGGATGGATGTACAGACAGACACACTTTAGTGTTGTGAAGAATGTATCTTGCCTTGTGTTGACCCAAAACAAAAACCTTTTTTTGGAGGAAGGGTCAAAAAAGGCAGCCGATTTTCATGATAATGGGTTTACAATTTGAATTCCTTTGTGCCATGAGTGTTAGACTTTAAAATGAATTCTTCTACAAAGTTTAAGTCCGTGTGGACTCATACAGTTTACTCCTGTGTCAAGATAATTTTCACTACACTCTAAAAGAACTATTGACTTGGAAAAAAGAAACCAATCTAGATTTGAACTGAAAGGTTTAAGGGTACTGAGATTTTCCCAAAGACTGTGCTCATGAAAATGATTTTCAGTCAGTGATGTATTCTTTTAAACTGAGTGACTGGCAAAGAGCCAGGCATTTTATCTGGTTATGGCACTTGGTGATAAAGGCTTTCAAGAGTCTATTATTTCTAACTTCTAAATACAGGCCCCAGTGAAAAACATACTGGGGAGATTCAACCTCTCTATGGGAAAAGGTTCAATCAAACACCTTTTTCAAATTTAAAGTCTGCCTTAAATGCTCTCTGCCACATTGCCTTTGACAGTCTTAGAAGTCCATGTAGTTCTCTAGGGACAGACTTCAAAAAGATGTTATGTTGTCAAAGACTAATCCGTGTACCTCTGGCTCAGTGTTTTATGCCTTGCACTTTCCCTGGGAAGGAGTGAAGCTCTTCTATCGCTCTGGGTTTGTTATATTTAATTCTGCTTTTGATAGTCAAAGATCATATACAGTAAAACAGTCCTCTGAACAACTCTTCGAGAAGCCAGACTGGTGTTTGATGAATGTTATATACCAAAAAAAAAAACCCATCGGCATGGGGTTACGTAGAAAAGCAATTTATTCCATTATAAGCACTTACACAGTTAGTCATGGAGAGTAACAGGCCTGCTGGTGAAACAGGTCACCCAAAATAGAGATGGTACCAAACTAGTGGTCAAGGACTAACTCCTAAAAAAAAAAAAAAAAAAAAAAAAGCAACTCTTATCCAGGATTAATTTAATTTTAAAAACAAATACAAGCTATCAATTCACTCTTCTCAACTCAACTGGACAGTCTACCTGTGGTATGACTGTCAGGTAAAAACATACATCTTTACAACTTGGTGGTCCCAAGTTTTTTAAAAAAACCATTTCACAGAAAGGAAAGAAATATGAAAACAGCTCAAGAAATACACTAACAAGCAAAAATATATGGGGAAAGAGGAACACATAGTTTTGACTTAACTGAAGAAACTGAGAGGAGACTGGTCTACATAGGGAAATGTGCATCCTGGAAAGTCAGGTGTGAAAACTTCAGAATAGGAATTTATATGACTTGAATCTCCCCCATTTCCTGAATAAAAATGACATCTTGTGGTATTTATACTTCATGGCTCAGACACCTACCTCACTTGGCTCTATCCTTCCTCACTTTAGCCTTTACTTAAAAGGAGTCTGTAAAACTTGGGGATATATAGCCTAAGAAGAAAAATAACCACACCCAATATTCCCCTTTCTGTGGCTACTTTAGACCTTTGTTACTAGAAAATTCCTGAAGAAAATTTAAATATAAGTCTGTGGCTTTACTGAATCAAGTCCCCCAGTTAATATTTAGAAAACACCCTCTGTTTGGGCTAGTAACATCGTTGATGGTACCTATCATAGAGGGATAGCCAAACAAAGTCTGTGTCTCAAAACCAGTGTTAAATCAATCTCAGGGTTGAGAGGGGAAAAAAAGGGGAGTCTAAAATCACAAGAAGTGCAGACATATCTAGGACCCTTGTCCTTCTGGATCCACGCTTCCTTCAGGATCTTCATCATTGTAAATGTTCTCTGCCTGCCCAAAAACAAGAAAAGGTTATTTAGTAAACATGAAGGATCCTTCTTGAAGTTAATGTTTCAAAAACAGAGGTGGCCAGGGAGAGAGACTGTGAGCCAGTCTCTGTAGCAACTATTCAACTCTGCAGCTGCTGCATGAAGGCAGCCAGGGACCATCTGAAAATGAATGGGTATGGGTGGCTGTGTTCCAATAAAAACAGGCAGCTGGCCCACAGGCCAACTAGATTAGGACATTCCCACAAAACTGAAGTATGGTAACTGTTTGTCCTGATACTCAACCTTCAGGAGTCCTTCTACTGGATATTACTGACAAGAGTCAGAACGTAAAAACAACACAAATGTCCATCAAATGACCAATGAATAAATAAAAATGTTACCTGGCAATGAAAAAAAGCTAGTCACAGCTTGCATTATTTAATTTATACTAAGTGTCCAAAACAGACAAATCCATAAAGTAGCCTGGGGGTTGCCTAATGCTGGGAACACTGGAGGAAAATGGGGAATGATGCTTAATGGGTAGGGCGTTTTTCTGAGGGGTGAATTACTGTGATGATGGTTGTATAATTCTGTGATTATGGTTAAAAAAAAAATTAGAAAGTCTTCATTAAGAGCCCCCCAAACCATGGGTTTCAAAATCAATTTATAAATATTTTTAAAAGAAAACTGCTCTAGCATAAACTGTACTTCTATTACTTGATGAAAACCTTGCATCCAAAGGCATAATCTTAAATAGAGAAAACACTTTCATTTGCGCAGTTTACTGTTCTTACTTAGTATCTACTATGCACAAATCACTAGGCTACGTGCTGCAAAGGATGGGATAGTCTTATCTTTAAAGAGCCTGTGATCTGACTGCAGGAATAGGAAAGTATACAATTGTGTGATGTTTTCTGATGACAAATGTGTAGTGTCTTTTTGACCCGATTGGCTGTCCAACAATTCAATTCAATCCTGACACTAACTGCACGTGAAAGTAGTGTTAGACCCCATAGGTTAAGGGGCTAGTCCCGCAAGACTATGATCCTCGCTTCAGAGGCCAGCGTCAAGCCCAGAGTGCTCAGACTACCCATGCACTTCTGCGCAACTTGGTTATCAACTCAGGTGTTCCCACACGCCGACCCACCCCCCACTCCTCGCCCCCTTAGGGTTGATGATTCGCTGCAATGACTCATGGAATCCTGAACATGCTTTACTTACTATTACCAGTTTACTACACCCCTTACAACTCAGGAAGAGCCAACTTGGCAGTGAAGCACAGGGTGAGGTGAGAAGGGAACATACAAAGCTTCTAGGTCTTCTCTGGGTAGCCGTCAATATACCCAACGGCCCAGAAGCTCATCGCATACAGAGGTTACACAGAGCCTTTTCAAGAGTTTTACACAACTTAATCCCCTCTGCCTGTGGGTAGGAGGGACTGTAAAGTTCTCCAATCACCTGTTTGGTCTTTCAGGAGACCAGCCCCATCCCGAGGCTTTCCAGGGGCCCTAAGTTACCTCCTTAGCCTAAACTCAGGTGTGGCCAAAAGGGGCTCCTTATAAACAGCAACAGAGACTTCTATCACTCAGACAACCCCAAGGGTTTTAGGAACTTGGACAAAGACCAAATAGTTACTTGTTTTATAGTTCTTTTTTATTTTTTCTTTTACCACCATTCTAAAAAAACTGAGTAAAGAACAACCTGGCCTGAAGATGATGTAGTTCGATCTACTACATTCCCATGGCAACTACTAAAATATCTTTAAATGACAGGCTACTCAAGGCAGCACATTTCACCTTCCTGTCAGAACTCTGAACTTTTTATATTAATTATACGTGGGTATATTACAAGGAAAAAGATGAGGTAGATTTTCTGTTTACACATGTAATACACATTTACTATTACAAATTATAATATTGAAAGGTATAAAGAAGATTATCCAAAAACTCCCTAAATATACCAACCACATTAAGGCAAACAAGCTGCTTCTTTTTTTAAACGCCCTTAAAAAAAAAAAAAAATTATTTATTTATTTGAAAGAATCAGAGAGAGCACAAGGTGGGGGAAGGTCAGAGGGAGAAGCTGACTCTGCCAAGCAGGGAGCCCGATGTGGGACCTGATCCTGGGACTCCAGAATCATGACCTGAGCTGAAGGCAGTCACTCAACCTAGTGAGCCACCCAGGCGCCCTGCAAACAAGCTTCTAAACATTACATATAATTAAATTCAAGACTAGCTATAATAATTTTATTTAATTTTTTAAAAAAAGATTTTATTTATTTATTTGAGAGGATGGGGGTGGGGAGGAGAGCACGTGTGTGTGTGAGCAAATGAGGATGAGCAGGGTTAAAGGGGGCAGAGGGAGAAGCAGACTTTCCATGGAGCAGGGAGGCTGATGTGGGGCTTGATCCCAGGACCTTGGGATCATGAGCTGAGCTGAAGGCAGCTGCTTAACCAACTGAGCTGTCCAGGCACTCCAAGCTACAATAATTTTTAATATAAGGAATTATAACATGCCACTGTTCTATACTCTGCTTTTTTTTGTACTTTATGTCATGAATATCTTATAAAGAAGTCTGGATATACCATATAATTTGTTAATCTCATAGGCCACAAAAACTCATTTCTTTTTCATTTTATTTCTTTAACTTTGATTAATAGTGCTATTCTTTAAGGAAGTTGTTTCAAAGATTTTTAAAAATTTGACAGAGAGAGCACGCATGCACATACAAGCAGAGGGAACAGCTGAGGGAGAGGAAGAAGCAGGCTCCCCGCTGAGTCGAAGGCAACAGCTCAATCAACTGAGCCACCCATGCATCCCAAAGAAGTTCTGATTATTAAAATACTTTTCCTCATGTTGAGCCAAAAACTTTCTTCTGGAGATTATCCCTGCCTCTAGATCTATCCTAAAACAACAAAAACTTTTTCCCAAATCTTTTCATTAATCAGGCTACCATCATTCAAGTTATGCAATTAAAAAAAAAAAAACTGTGGTACAAAAATACATATCAAATTGCCATCTTAACCATTTTTAAGTGTACAGGGCATTAAGTCCATTCACCCTGTGTGCAACTATCAACCACCATCCACCTCCAGAAAGCAAGTGTTTCCTATATTGCTCTATGTTAGACATTACAGTTATCTTTATTAAATTCCAAGCACTTTGGAAATTCAAAAAAGGGTAATCATTTCCCATTTGGGGTATAAAGAACAGGAAGTTTTTAGAATCTAGTAATATTTCACAGAGAAATGGCAGTATCTGATGCTGTACCATTGTGGTAGAAACTGTACGAGGCATGTTCAAAGCCACAAGTCACTTCAAAGGAATGACCATTCCCAAAGATTCAACTGCTAGTAGTGGGGAAAGGAGGAGGCCAGCAAGGAGGAGGCCAGCAAGGCGGCTATTGCAATAGTTTAGCAAGTAGTAATGAGAACCTGACCAAAAACTCGGGGTGTGAAGTAGAAACAGGAAAGCTGGGCACTAAGTGTTTATCTGTAAGATGAGTACAGATACAAGAAACAATGCAGACAGACAATGCAAAATCTGGAAAGTAAATGAGAACTAGAGGTAAATAGATAATCAAGAACTCCTGAGGGGCGCCTGGGTGGGTTAAAGCCTCTGCCTTCAGCTCAGGTCATGATCCCAGGGTACTGGGATCGAGCCCCGCATCGGGCTCTCTGCTCGGCAGGGAGCCTGCTTCCTCCTCTCTCTGCCTACCTCTGTGATCTCTGTCAAATAAATTAAAAAAAAAGAAAAAAAAAAAAAAGAACTCTTGAGTCTTCAAGTTGGTTGAGCTGGGGGATGATGACACTGGAGCCATATATAAAAAAGGAAAATAGGAGAAAATGGGAAAAAGAAGAAGGGGAGAGAAGTCTGGTCTTCTTGAGTTTGAGACACCAGTGGGATAAGCAGATAAAGGTAATGAGCAGGCATGTGAAAATGATAATGTGCAGCA